AAACCCTAAACCCAAAACCCTAGAGAGGCTTCTTTAGAATCAAGTGTCGTATATCTAAAGCCCTGGCTTCTTGCAGGTCACTCCGTCGACGTGGTGGAGTCCGCTCCCCGACGGCTCTCCCGACACGTTTGGTCTCGGGGGCCCGAACTCCTTCTCCTGGTAGAGTATAGTCCCGATACAAGCTTCCATACTACACACCCCCAAGCCCTATTCTGACTATTCAGGCCCCTACATCAGACCAAGAAATTGGTGATGTCAGGCGTTTAGACCACAGTACTGCCTTGTTCTTGGCAGAATCACTACCCTTTCAACCCTCACTGCTGAGATGAGTAGACTCGTAAACTATGTTGTGCTTATCATTGCTAATCCCCAAGCGAACCCTCAAGCGTAACGCAGACACTATCGCTCGTGTGTGGACAGGCGAAACTAGCTGTAGGTGTTTTTGTTCGTTTCTTTCCTCATGGGGTTCCTTTCAAAGGTCAAAACCCTAAGCCCTAAACCCTAACCCCTAAGCTTTGAACGGTCATTTTACCCGAGGAATTATTCGGAATACTTTCGCCCAGCCGCCCACGAAGGTCAGGATTCTACAGCCTAAGAAGCCATGAGCTTCCAACACTCCCATAAATCGCAACAGTGAATGAACATGAGGGTTGTTAGAAGGGCGTGATAGGGTTGTGTAGGGTATTCTACGGTTTCATGACCTTTATACCAGAGGCCTCAATATGCGGTAGTAGCATGCTCGGTGGAACCTTGCCAATATGTTTCGAGTTCAGAACCTCGTAAACCTTCAGTCTTAGCTGAATCTTTCAGGCTTCATATTATGGCCCCCCGTAGGATATTAGCTTCAGGGTCTGGGAACGTAGCAAGAGCTACCGCGATCCTCCGGACACAGCACAGACCAAGCAAGTGAAATCCACAAAATGCTTTACACGGCTTTAGATACAATAAGAAAGTCGAATCAACAAAACCAGCAAGCCAAATGCACGCAGGATTCGACTATCACTACAGCAAAATGTAAGCCCTGGATTCAAGACAGGTTACTAGCAAGAACGTAAACTCTGGGATACTTGTGCCTTCAACCCTACACTCCTTAAAAATACCCTAAACCCTAAACCCTATACAACCAGAAAAGTCCGAAACCCTAAACCCTATCAAAATGCTGGGAGACAGGAGATGGGTCTGCCGGTCCCGACGGAGCTGCCATCCCCCACGGAGCACGGCCTGCAACCGGAGGCGGGAGGAGGGTGGTTCGGGTTTAGGGTTTAGGGGTTTAGGGTTTTAGGGTTTAGGGTTTAGGGGTAGAAGCCTAAATACTTGCCGATAGTAGTTTAGGGGTTCCTGATTATGATTATCGTATAATAGACACCAAAACCCTATTCTACTTATGAAGGCCTCTTTCTTAGGTTCAGGGTTTAGGGTTTAGGTTTAAGCTGAGGCCGGGGTGAGGGGGGTCTCAGGGCCTCAAGATTGTTTAGGGTGCTACGTGCGCCAGAGCCCAGGATTGATGGAGAGGGGAGGGGGGGATAAGGGTTTAGGGTTTAGGGATAAATAGCGGAATTAACGGAAAATAGCTTTGAGAGAGAGCATCCAACGTCCTAGTTTCGTTTTTAAGGCTTCTATATCCGGCGTTTAGGATTCGTTAAGCCTGCTAATTAAGTTGCTTCCACCCTAAACCGTATCTGCCGAAACATTCAACTTTGATCCTAAAGCCTAAACCCTAAACCCTAAACCCTAAACCCTAAACCCTAAACCCTAAACCCTAAACCCTAAACCCTCAACCATAAACCCTAAACCCTAAACCCTAAAGCAAGCCCTTCCGAAAAAGACTTGGGGTCGGTTTTCGGTAGTCTATAGGCTCCAAGGGTTTAGGGGGCTTTGGGTTTAGGGTTTAGGGTTTAGGGTTTAGGGTTCAGGGTTTAGGGTTTAGGGTTTAGGGTTTAGGGTTTGGAATGGGGTCGGGTTCCTGTGTCCTGGATTCTTGTTTGCTTGGGTTTGCTTTGTCGGATACGGTCGGACTCCGGTGCCTCCACGGTTTAGGGTTTAGGGTTTAGGGTTTTGCGGTAGAGGAGGCAGTGGGGGGCCTAACCATACGGAGTGTTGTTCGTGATTGCACCAGTGCCTTCTAAATGCGATCCCGAAGCTCTGAGTGAGGAAACCCTGAACCCTAAAACCCTAAACCGTAAACCATAAACCCTAAATCCTGAACCCTAAAACCCCTAAACCCGAA